GGAGGGGCAGGAGGAGGGGGAGAGGGGAGGGGGAGGAGCAGGAGAGCCTGGAGTCGATGAAGTTGCTTGCTGTGGGACAGGACCCACGGTTTCCTGCTCTTTCCAGGCTGTGATACTACCTATAGTCAGCAGTGCCTTCCTGGTTTTCAGAGAAGTGAAACGCTGTGCTCCTTCGTGCTGTAGGCTCCAGAGTCGGAGCTGTAGGATGGCGCTTTCTGGGGGAGATGCAACGAGAATTTGTGAGCCTGTGCTGGTTTTTATGTATATCTGATTAAAAAGATATACTTTACTATGAAGTGAGCATTTTACAATTGAGCAGGGAGCATAAACTGATGCAGTTTGTTATTGTGTATGTTACAGACAGTAAGTACACTGGCTGCTGTGCTTGCCACCACAGTGGAGAAACCAGATGGTGCGCTCGGAGACACTGAAAGAAATGAGAGCTTTGGGAGTCCTGTCTCCTGTGTTCCGACTGTGGAAAAACTGCCTGCGAGCCCGGGAACTGATGGGTTACCTGCTTCTGCTTCTCTTGCCCTGGCCGATGACGTTTTTGCTCAAGTTGAGGTGCCATCCAGTTCCCTGGAGGTCGCAGTGAACAGCATTTTGCCCGTGGCTGGTGCTTCGGATTACAGGCTACTGTGTTGCGTGGATGGGCACTTTGGCAGGAAGGCCAGCCTCTTACCTGCCGATGAGAACAGCCTGCCCCCCCTGCTGGGCGCTTCTGGAGAACAGGGGTCAGGTAGGAGAGTAGCTGCTTTCAATTTAAGGAGTGCTTTTAGGAAGAGGTGCGATGGATGTGTCTACAAAGCACTTTATAGCTCAGATCATTGAATTATAACATGCCCTAGGGCTGGTGACTTTATTTATAAAGTTACTATGTAAAAGCAAACTCTACAGGACTTGAACTTTTATGATTCATTACATCTGTGGTCTTAGCATACAATGAGTCCCGATCTAACACAGGAGCAAGCAGACTTTCAGAAACGTTCCCACTATATTAGCATGTTAAGTCTGTCTTTTTCTGAAGAAGAGGAATGTCTAAAGAAAAACGCTATTGACAAACCCAGAAATTTTAACCAGGTGTGGCAGTACACACCTGTAACCCAGAACTCTGAGAGGCTGAAGCTGGAAGATTGCAAGTTCAATCCCAGCCTGGGAAACTTAGCAGAACTCTTTCAAAATTAAAAAAAAAAAAAAATTCTCGAGATGTAGCTCAACATGGAGGCCCTGGATCCAGTCGCTAGTACCACAAGAGAAGGCAGGGGGCAGGGGATTTTTAATTCCTCATATTGGCTGAGTTCTACAAGCTGAAGATTCTGTGGCCAGCTCTCACATAGACTCTTGTTTTTTTGTGGTTTTGTTTTTTGCCACCTGTCACTGACATAGACGTGTACCAGTTACCAGTCAGCCACGCGTGTATCTTGGGTCTCGGTGGTTATGAGTTTGTGAATTTTTGAAGTTAGAATTGAGTGAGCAACGGAATAGAATCTACTTTTTTTTTTTTTTAAAGTTTATTTATTTATTTAGTGTGTGTGTGTGTGTGTGGCCAGCTCAGCCCACCAGGGGGTGGGGCTGGCTGGCATGTGGTGCTGGGGGATCGAACTGCGGTCCCTGTGCTTTGCTAAGCTTGTTCTAAGTAGGTGCTTTAGACCACTGAGCCTTCTCACCAGCCCCCTAGAATCTACTTTTGACAGAAGTGTTTTAAAGCTTGAGAGTAAAAAATAAAGTAAAATTAAAAAAAGCTTGACAGTGCTGTTCCATCTCCGGTACCACACGCTGGGCTGGCCCTACCCCTGGGTGTGCTGACACGAAGACCAGGTGTGCCTATACTCCCAGCGCTCAGGAGGCTGAAAACAGGAAGATCACTATGAGTCCCAGCTATGTAGTGAGACTCTGTAAAAAATGCCTAAAAATAAATAAAGCTCGATAGTGCTTACATTTTATAATTATGCTATTTAATCAGTGCGTTTTTTGTATATACCATATACAATATATGTCAAATGCATGTTTTATAGTATTAAAATCTGTGCTGGATAGGAAAGTTAGAAATGGATAAATAACAGTTATACAGAATGTTAGTTGACTTTAGGAAGCATGTTTGCTTTTTTTTTTAAACTTGATCGGGCTCTTGGTACGTGCGTGTAGGATTTTGTTTCACTGTGAGCAGCACATGTGCAGGATACTGAGCCCAAGTGCCATTTCTCTTCTATGCAGTGCCTGTGGTAGAAGAGCACCCCTCTCCTGAGCAGGTCAGCTCCCTTCTGCAGAGCGAAGGGTCTCCTCCTGCCACCTTCGTGTTGAATGCCAATCTGCTTGTGAATGTCAGATTAATATTTTGTAAGTAATGATTTATCTTTTTTTGCTTAATAGGCAAGCAGGATTTCTAAAGTAACTCTGTCTTCAAGTTAGGTTTTGACTGGCCAAATAGACTACTGATCCATTTTGTAAGTAGTATATTGTGTATTCAGTGGGACTTGAGTGTACAGATTCACAATAGCATCCGAGTTCAGACATGGGCTTACCGCTGAAGTATATTCGATGCATATGCACAGTTGACTATTTCTTACAGCTTTTAGATAAGCTGAGCTTTGGTAAATGAGATACACAGCACTTATGTCTTAGGAACATTAAAAACAGTAAGTGCCATGTGACTGAATTAAAAGCAGGAAAGTAATGTTTCTGCTCAGGGATGGATTTATAAGCTTTGCCTTTCCCAAAAATGAATTTTTACAAACTACATTCAGCATATTAGTGTATCTTCTTAGTGTTAATTATTTTACTCCATAAGATAGTCTTTTTTTATTTTCTTAGGTGAATCTTTCACAGTTCAGTTTAAGGTTATTATAAGCAGAATTTTGGGACAGTAAGGGTTTTAAAAGTGCTTTATGCAGATATAATGTTTAATTTTTTGATTAACAGAAGTTTGCATTTATAGTTGTCTACTTTTGTTGCTCAGATTCCTCAGATAAATATTGGTGCTTCTCAACCAATGGCTTGCATGGCCTGGGACAGGCAGAGATTATCATTCTGTTGCTGTGTTTCCCAAACGAAGACCAAGTTCCTAAGGACATTTTCCGGCTGTTCCTCTCCATATATGAGGACGCACACAAAGGTACAGCGCTTCACTCTGAGCCCCACAGAGGAAGGTTGGGTGCGTCCTGGGCACGCACTTCTGGTCTGCAGACTACATTCCATGCTTTTGTGAGAAGAGGTTGGAGGTCTTAAAGGGGGTTGATCATCATTTTTAGTGTCCTTTTAAACTCACATTTTATGTAATTAGTGGCTATACAGATTTTTTTTAATTTTAAAAATGAGAATGCATTTAACTCCTTAATTTTTAAATATATCTATATGCTGTTCTTGCCATCTGTACCAGATGGGGGCATATGATAATTTTTCTTATCATGCAGGAAAGAGGAAAATTTAAAGGTATCTATAATAGGAAACATTTTCAAATTTTTATTTACAGTCCCCAGTATCTAGGAGTAACAGTTTTGTGCACAGAATGTATTCAATAGATGCATCTTTAAAAGTAAAAATAAGGGGGGCCGGGGAGATGGCTCAGTGGAACAAGCATTTCCCTGGCAAGCGCAAGGGCCTGAGTTCAATTCCCGGTTCCACCAAAAAAAAAAAAAAAAAAGTAAAAATAAGGGCCGGGGCAATAGCTTAGCTGTCTAACTGCCTGCCTGGCAAGCGCAAGGACCCGGGTGTAATCCCCGGTGCCACATGCTGTGTCAGCCCTGCACCAGGCCAGCTAACGAAACCAGGTGGGTGGTACACAACTCTGGGGCAGCTGAGTAGGAGGATCACTATGAGTCTGAGCTGTATAGCAAGACCTGTGCTAAATAACTAAATCTTTTTTTTTTTTTTTTTTTTAAGTAAAAATAAAATAAAATGGCACATTGCCTTTGGTTTACATCGAGACATCATAGATTTTTTTTGTGTGTGTGCAGGGTCTCACTACACAGCTTGGCCTCGTAGTGATCCTTCTGTTTTCAGCCTCCCTAGTGCTGGGATTACAGGCATGTGCCCCACACCCCAGGCTCCAGCTGACACGGCATACAGTGCCAGGGATCAAACTCTGGCCACTGCGCTTACCTAGGCGAGCACTTAGTCTGCTGAGCTATCTCGCCAGCCCTGACAACATGGATTTCATTGGGGTGAAATTTGAGCATTCCATTAAAACAATAATAAAAAACTTAATATCTTTTTATTGATTTTATTTCCAGGAAAATACATAGAAAATCTGGATAGTGTCACCTTCACCGAGAGTTTCCTCGGCAGCAAGGATCATGGAGGCTTCCTGTTTATTACACCCACCGTCCAGAAGCTGGACTGCCTTCCCGTGCCCAACAGCCCCTTCCTGTGTGGGATTCTTGTCCAGAAGCCCGAAGTTCCTTGGGCAAAGGTTTTTCCTATACGTTTAATGTTGAGATTGGGTGTGGAATATAAAGGTAAGTTTTAGAATAAGTTGATTATTTCACGTATACTGAATGTAAAGTAAGGATTATAGGGAAATTATTAAAATATAATTTGACCAGATTAATGGAATTACATTAATTCAGTGTTCTTTTGGTTTTTCTTAATTGCTTGCAGCATTGGTCTCCAGGGCACCATGCTGCTAGGCTGTGTCCTCGCTAGTCCTTAAGTCGGAGTCCTGCTCATTTGCTGGGCAGCACTCGAGCTTGTAGTGCTCCAGCCTCGGCGTGCCTGTCTTATGTGCCGTCACATGGCTCTGGCCATTGATGTGTGAGGAAGTATCTGGATGTTCATAAGTTCTAGTAACATTTTCAAAAAATGTTTGAAGTTCTAAACAAAACAGCATTTTGACAGTATTACTTTCATTATATTTTCTTAAAACATGTACTCATATTTTTGAGTTTATGTTGCCTGTCTGTTCAGCAGCAAATTACTGTTCCTCTCTTTGTGTATGTCGTGAGCTAACACAGAGTTTGGGATTATCAGGGCCGTTGCCCTAACCTGCTGATTGCTTAGGCATTAACGCTTGGTAGAGACAGAAGTAATGTACCTAAAACATTGGTTGCCATTTTTTAAGCTTTAAGTTCTCCTTTTTTATTTTTAATTCCCAATGTTTAACTAACTAAAAGTGATGGAGGGGCCTAGGATATAGCTCACCAGCATAAACACCTGCCTGGGAAGCGCAAGATCCTGAGTTTGGTCCCCAGTACCAAAAAAAATAGTGATGGAGATTACATCATTTATCCTGTGAATGCATTTATTTATATATGTAC